ATGTGGAACTGTTCACCACAATGTCGCGGCTTCTTAAACTGGAGGATGTGCAGCTTCTCTTTGTCCTAATATTATTACAAGTAGAATATCTGTACATGTTCCGACTGTTGGTCAGGCATTTGAAGACTGCATCTTGGACTTTAGACTGATAGATGAAATATATATCAACAATGGAATGTTTTGTATGTTGCAGACCTTACTGTGCATTTCGTTGTGTTTTACAGCATAACAGTGCCTCACATTAGCTGTGAGTCTCTGAAAGGCACATTCATCCGTCAGTCGCTGTTCAATAGGAGACAACCTGTTGATTTAGTGCTCGATACTGCTGTGTGTACGAGTGTGTGGTGTCCCAGAAGGAATTGATATTACCCTCGGATAACTCCACCTCCCCTCCTTTCTTCCTTTCTTCCTCTGGTGAGGGCACGCCCCCCATGCCGCCTCCTGATTGGCAGAGGGGGCGGGCCTCCTTGCAGGGATTAGTTAGCGTGTCGCCTGTCTTTTAGGATCAGCCTCGCTCTGCTCTTTTCTTCAGTCTGACTGAGCAGAGAGCAGGAGGAGGAGGTGGCGGTGGAGGAGGAGGAGGTAGAGGAGGAGGAGAGAGCAATAGAGAGAGAGTGAGTTAGAGAGAGAGAGAGAAGAAGGGAGGAGAGAAACAGCTGAGAAACGGGTGACAGCATGCAGCTAACGGAGAGTACGATGGTTGAGGACGGTAAGAGGCTGATTTAGTCTTTTGGTGGCTGTGTTCTTCTTTGTTTCTTCTCTCAGTGCATCACCATGTCTTTCCTTTAAGCCTCAGACTTCACTTCCTGATCCAGTTTGTACAATTATAAGCATGTTCTACTAGTTTAGCACTTTTTTTCTTTGTTGACAAATAAATATGTTCTCCTTTTTTTTAATGTTTTTGCTGCCCCCTCTTCTTTGATTTTTCTTGCAGCACATGACCTAAATGTTTGTCTCTATTCTTACTCTGTTGCTTCGTGGGCTTTTGTACTCAAGAGTCCTGCAACTGTCAGCTTACCCACGCAACTACCTATGAAGTATGCCAGAAATGATGTGATTCCACCTCCTAAAATGTGAGCAGTTAACAGTTTTATACATAGTCAATATAATATATTTTAAGATTTTCGACCGTTAATCTCACAGATGAGTAAAAGCTGGGGAAATGATGACACTTTTCTTACAGTTAATATTCAAAATGCATGTCTACTGTTGCAGACATGTGGACTCAGATTGAAGTCTTAAGCTCTTAAGCATGTCCATGTGTGTGGGGTGCATGTGCGTGCTTTCACAGCCGTGACGCTGAAACACACCCCCATACTGTAGAGGCTCACACACACACACACACACACCACCTGCAGCTCCCTCCTCTGCCCAGTTGTGAAGTTGTGGATACAGGTTGAGCAGCAGGCTGTGTTCACGCCACATGCTTTTGAGTTTTTGAGATTTTGCAGTGTGTGCAGTCATTTCTTAGAGTGTAAACTCTTGTTGCAGAAAAGACCTTTGTTACTGTGCTCTCTGATCAGCTGTGTGCACTTACATTATTTTTGATAGCATCCCCAAAGGATGACCGCGGGCAGCATTGATGCTATGTGTGTTTGTCAAGTGTGAGTGTTTATCATGCGTGTGTGTCAGTCTGTGCTGACAGTCATTGTTCAGGAGAGCTGTGGTTTCTCCCTGTGTGTGTGTGTGTGTGTGTGGTGTGTGTGTGTGTGTGTGTGTGTGTGTGTGTGTGTGTGGTGTGTGTGTGTGTGTGTGTGTGTGTGTGTGTGTGTGTGTGTGTGTGTGTGTGTGTGTGTGTGTGTGTGTGTGTGTGTGTGTGGTGTGTGTGTGTGTGTGTGTGTGGTGTGTGTGTGTGTGTGTGTGTGTGTGTGTGTGTGAGCATTGCTCCTTTGTCTGGTGAGGGGGAGGGGGGAGTAAGGAGGGGAGGGAGGCTGCGCTGACGGTCCCCTTTGTTCATGTCCCTCTCGCTGTCTTATGCAGCACTTGTGACTGACCGTTTGTTTTATAGATGTAAAAGTGATACAGTTGTTTAATAAGAAACATTTTCATAATGTGAGACATGTTCAGGGTCCGTCCTCTGTGGTAGGATGGTTGTCATTAGTTAATTTGACTTGTTCTGTGCAGGAAAGATGTTTTAAAGAGCACAGGGTTTGCCTCTAGGTGCTGCAGAGTGGGGACCTTAATGCTATAAGTTTCCAATGGACCTGTGCAACAAAGGGTGTGTGTGTGTGTGTGTGTGGGGTCCTGTTTCTCATTGTCCTGCTGACCCAGTCCTTGGGTTAGTGAAGAGAATCCTTACGATGGTTTCAATAACATATACACAAGCATTTATCGGGTATTATGATACATTTTTTTACTCGTTTTAGGTTCTTACTTGTGTGCGGATTTGCTCCTTTTTTTCCTATTGTAAATTTGATATTATTTTTATTAAATGAATTTAGCTTATTTGAGATTATATTTTAAAGGTATTCTCTAATTAATAAAGATAAATAAGGATTTCATTCATTGCTAATAGATAGATTAGCCTATTGTCCTTTTTACGATACCATCCATTGTGTGGTCCATGTACTTCCACACTTGGACACACACACACACACACACACTATTACAACAGTGTCTTTCAGTTATGTAGGAGCAGTGTTTCACTTTGTTACCTTTTTTATTTTTTCCTGAAATGTTTAAATAGTGCACGTGCTTTTATTTAATATAAAGTGGACTTTTACTCTGTGTGTGTGTGTGTGTGTGTGTGTGTGTGTGTGTGTGTGTGTGTGTGTGTGTGTGTGTGTGTGTGTGTGTGTGTGTGTGTGTGTGTGTGTGTGTGTGTGTGTGTGTGTGTGTGTTAAATGCTGACGGAGGGGAACAGTGCAGCTGCAGAATGACAGCTTTGGCTTCTGTAACTGACTGACTGCTGTGGTTATGAGGGAGGGAGGGAGGGGAAGGAAGGAGTGAGGAGTCCCAAAGTGAGAGAGGAAAAAGGGAGAAGGACAGCAGGGTAGGAAAAGAACAACGAGAACAGGAGAGGAAGCCGAGCAGCAGCTGTGCTACACATTCCTCTGAACTGAAGCTCGTCTGCTGTGTGCGTTTCTACCTATTATTATTTCATTAGCCCTCCAACCTGCTTTCATGAGATCTCCTCAGCATGAAGTTTGCAAAAGGTCTCCGGCTGTTCTTCTGCTCTGCAACACACACTGCTGCACGGACACAGGTGTAGAATGACCGGTAACAAAGGGGAAGGTGAGCTAAAAAGCTCCTTTATGGAAATCAAAATATGTCAACCAACTCCAGAAAATGTCCTTTGTGACAAAGGAGACCAACCAAGTTGTGTAGCCCCCTAGTGGCTATGGAAGCCTTTTTAATTTGCCTCAGATCTCAGACAGGTTACATTTGTTTATATTGGATAATTAATGCAAAGATTAAAGAGATTAAAAAAAATAAAAAGGTAAATGTTTTACTTAACATTTATCACGTGGATACAATCATGCCTCTATAAAACTTTATTGGCATAAATAATGTATGTCTGTTCTCAGAAACACGTGGCAGTAGCAGCTGTTTTTGTTTTGGACATAATAATAATGTATCACCTGTCCGATTGTTTGTTCCACTGCCCCCAAGTGGCCAAAATGATTTTAAACAGCTTTTGATTTAAATACATTTCCGGAATAATGTATTTTATTTGTTCATTCAAAGACAACATAATTCTTACCCCATGTCACAGTAGAGTCTGGGGGGGGCACACTAGCGATGTGAAAAGGTTGCAACTTATCGGGACAGTGAGTAATGACCGTGCTGCCTGCACATACACTGACATCATATTTGTCCGGCCTTATTCAGCTCTGCCTCTGTGCATTGTGGGAATTCCCCTGTCCTTCGGTGGCATTTCAGGGTGCTTTCATCAGCGGACTTTCCCTTTTTAAAAACCCAAACAGTGTGTGCCTGGAGACTTCTGAAAACCCGTGGGGTGTGTGTGTTGGCATTGTGGCTCACACTGTTTGGCTCAGAACTTTGCAGCCAGTTCTCTGTTTGTTAGCATTCAGTCAGTTTGAATTCACCTTCAGACTATTTGAACGCTGCTCCGGCTTTGTTATCATTGCCCAAACTTAAAGGTGCAGTCTGTAACAAAGCTTCAATCCACATACAAGACAAACGGAAGACATTTCATTGTGAGGGGCCCCATTATGCTTGTTGGGGTTCTGCCTTTCCTGTAGTGTGTTATGTTGTTTTTGGTGCATGGTCTGCAAAGGCTAAAATCCCCACATGTCTAAACACAGGCAGGTCAAATCACTGTAATAACGATACTTACGCAATGTTCTTCACAGTATTTCGCAAATAGCTTCTTAAAAGGCACACTCTGTTGCACATTTATTTGATAAGGAATCAACCCTAACTGTTGAAAGTTTTATAAAATGAAGGGCATCAGTCATGGAAAGAGCGCAGGGTGCAAAGCAGAAACTAAAAGTCAAGTTTCTGTCAGATGTCTTACATAATCAACCATGATAACAACCACAGCGTATGAACAGGAGGCTTCCCTCGTGCAGCTCAGTGGGAGGACGAGTTCAAAGGCAGGAGAAATTGTGCGAAAACAAGAGTCCTGGCAGTTGTTACACACTTTCTTCCTCAAAATGTCCTCCATGCAGCCCATAACTTTCACTTTGCCTGAGTGTGTGTTGCAAGTGGTTTATGACTCAATAATTACTGTGATGATGTGTGGGCTGTATTTGTCATGCCACTGTTTGCCTTTGTGATTAATAACAATGGGGTCACCAACTGCCCCGCTGCTGCATTTATGTGTGGATATAAAACAGCTCCTATGTTGTGATTTGCATATAACAGGTGTGCAGAAAGATCTCTGTCTGGTGTTTGTGTAGCGAAGCTCTAAAGTAATGAAGTATGTGAGTAATGTAACAATGCTTCGCCTTGACTCCATCTGCAGTAATATATAGGTGGCTGTAATGTGTACAGTCTTTCTCAATAATAACATGTCCTCTCTTCCTCTCCTCCAGCTCTTCCTCCAAAACCAGCAAAGCCACAGCAGCCCTCCTCAGTGGGGGGGGTTGGGGGCAGCACCAATGGCACCAAGGATGTAGGAGCAGGAGGCTCGCTGCAGGAAGCCGAGTGGTACTGGGGAGACATATCCAGGTAACCCTCACACACTAACATACTGTGTTTAAGGTAGGCAGTACATCTGCTTGGCCTATTGTTACAGATCCTCGTCAAAAAACAAGTATCATTCAATAAATATAAAAGAAGGAAACCAAAGATCTGGTCTCAAATTGCTCTACTTTTGGTTTTATGTGGGAAAGCATGTACATTTGGTGTATGATTCAGGTATGAAATGTGGTCCCACCCACAACTATCTTAATATACAAGTATTCATATTTATGAAAGTAACTTATAGAGATGGACAGGAATTGGTGAGTTTATTACCCCAATACAGTTAAAGACAGTTCATTATTTATAGCAGTAGCTTGGCCAGAAACAACGAAGAATACACACAATACAAATCTATTTCGACAGAGAGCTCAAATCAAGAGCTCCTCAGGTTTATGTAGTATTCAGTATACAGTTAGATTCCCAGATGTTTGCCATCAAATATACCTGTTTCATAAGAGTTGAGCAGAAATCCTTTTCATAAATGTTCTGTTTTCTTAAGTTACAATCATGAAGCTGCTGAGTCTCAGGCTATTGTGACTGTCTTACCTTCATAAGTGCAGGTTAGCTCTCAACCACAATCCACACATAACTCCACCTACGGCGCAGACAGCCAATCTGCCACCCTTTTTACACACACACACACACACACACACACACACACACACACACACACACACACACTCAGAGCAGAGAGACACTGTTTGCTGGGACCTGTCCTTCCAGTCACTCCCGACATCATCTAATTGACACACCGTTCAGTTTGAGGCGTGTGGCTGCGGGGGGGAAATCCCCATCGCCTGCCACTGATAATTGAAGGCAGACCGTTCAAATGAACACCATCTGTACACGGATCACTCAACCAACTCACTCTATGTATTTTTTTCATTTGTCTTCAGGGAGGAAGTGAATGATAAGCTCAGAGACATGCCTGATGGCACTTTCCTGGTGCGGGACGCTTCCACAAAGATGCAGGGAGATTACACGCTCACACTGAGGTAAGGCCCTTTGTTCCCACCAAAAATAGGTCATATCTGCAGCTATTTCTCAACATGAAAGCCCACTAAAATAGGCAATAGGTTCATTTCCCAATGACAGTGGGCAAATAAATGAATTGTCCCAGGAATGAATGGCGACTGCAACCTTTCCATTTACACACATAGGCCAGATGTTGGTGGGTGTTTTTGTGCAGTTTGTACCAGTCATGAATGCACTGTGTTTAAAACCACAGGGGGATTAACGGAGGCTGGAAGGAGTGGTAGATGACTTATTCTGCTCCACTTTAATGCAGACATCCAGATTGAGGGAAATCATGTGTTGAGAAGCATTTTAGCCTACGCAGCATCCTGGTAAATTGGAGCAAATCGCCCACTGAGTCTGAACTAGGGGTTGTTTGAGTGTGAATATTGGGGGGAATCATCACTTTCTTGATGCATTCTTCACTCTAAATGTTTTGTTCTGTCTGGTTTAGGAAGGGGGGCAACAACAAGCTGATAAAGATCTACCACCGGGACGGGAAATACGGCTTCTCCGACCCGCTGACGTTCAGCTCAGTGGTGGATCTCATCATTCACTACAGACACGAGTCCCTGGCTCAGTACAACACCAAGCTGGACGTCAAACTCATGTACCCCATCTCCCGGTTCCAGCAGGTCAGCACACATCAAATATGTACCACACATTGTGTATCCGTCATGACTTTATACACAGACATTTTATTTTTCGCAACTGCAACTTTTTATGTGCTATTAAAGGGTTCGAGAGCCTTGATATTTTTGGTTACGGTGTCTTTTCAAGCTGTACAAACCTGGTAAACTAGTTATTACTATTTAAGGGTAGTTTGGGTGTGTTCGAATCCTTGATCAAACTGTCATTTGTTTGACATCCTGTATAGCAGCTCATATTGGAGTAATTTGTAAAGTTTTCAAATTGGAAGCAGAAATCCCACTTTCTAGTAGTTGCTACTAATTTTAAAACACCTTTTCAATCACCTAACTTCCCTGTACCCTGTGTCTGGAGTTGGGTGTTTCCACTCCAAACTGCAGCAGCAGCAAAACCTCCGCTCACTGAAATATTGCCCCGTTTGCCGGCCCCCGTGCCACGCTCCCTAAATAATTGCACACATCTGCGGTGTCAAAGGGCCGCGGTTGCATTTATTCCCTTCCTCCCCTCGTTCCACTCGTTCTGCAGGCGAGTCATTACTCAGAGCGGTGAAATATCTCAGAGCGTGCGCACCGTGTTGCCATACACTGTGGGGCATTGTGGGTGGTTAATTAACGAGCCTGCTCAGGAGTCACCCTCGCTAAGCAGAATCAGGGGTGAAGGGAGCACCACATGCACATGGACTTTGTCCCTAAGTACAAATAGCTCTGCATTCTTGAATGTCTAACACTTATGTATGCTGCCTTTTTCTTTTTCTTGATTCTAACGCTTACTATTTGTTGTTCTATCCCTCAGGACCAGCTGGTAAAGGAGGATAATATTGACGCCGTGGGGAAGAAGCTGCAGGAATACCACAATCAGTACCAAGAGAAGAGCAAAGAGTACGACAGACTGTACGAAGAATACACCAAGATGTCACAGGTAAGCAGGTTTTTGAATTATAAATGAACTTTTTTGGTTTTTACAGAAAATAAACTCCTATTTCCTGTCATGTCCTCTAACTTACCTCCTTCCCTCCATCCATCAGGAGATCCAGATGAAGCGAACGGCCATCGAAGCCTTCAACGAGACCATCAAGATCTTCGAGGAGCAGTGCCAAACGCAGGAGCGCTACAGCAAGGACTACATCGAGCGCTTCCGCCGCGAGGGCAACGACAAGGAGATCGAGAGGATCATGATGAACTACGAGAAGCTCAAGTCCCGGCTCGGGGAGATCCACGACAGCAAGGTGCGGCTGGAGCAGGACCTGAAGACACAAGCCATGGACAACCGGGAGACGGACAAGAAGATGAACAGCCTGAAGCCCGACCTCATACAGCTCCGCAAGATCAGGGACCAGTATCTTGTGTAAGTGCACAACAAATTATTATTATAAGTAAAGCAGGCAGACGGACTGAAATATAAAGAAAATATACTTTCAAAGTGTTTCATTTCAGTTTTTTCATGAACATAAATGCTAACCAAAACTTGGGATTTAGGTTTTTGGTTTATCCACAGAAATCCCTGAAATGTCATACAAATCAAGCCGTTAATCATGTTAAATACTTAAGAGGTAGATACCAGTTTAATATCCCCTCACAGTCTAAAAAGACCCTGATGTTCTGAGACTGACACGCAGCGCAATTAGGAACTTGTTACTTCCTGTTACTGAAAGCCAAGAGATGTCCTGCTTTATTTCACCAATGCTGGCTTTTAACTGTCAGAAACTTGCCAATTTAATTTGTGTTCACTGCCTCATAAACAATGTTGTAAAAGATGTAGGGTTTTAAACTGATCCTTGTTGTTGTAGTAATGGTTCCCCCTCTCTCTCTCTCTCTCTCTCTCTCTGTAGCTGGCTCAATCACAAAGGAGTTCGTCAGAAACAAATTAACGACTGGCTTGGAATCAAGAACGAAAACACTGACGAGTGAGTCTCAACTTTTACTGCCTTTCCTCTGCCAAAAAGTGGTTAACACGGTTACTGTACATAAGTCTGTGGGCAGAGCAATGGCTAATATAATCTATACCTATTTGTACCCAAATATGACATTATTTCTCTGTGGCGAAGTGCCCCGTGTTTACCGTTGATCTCTTCCTGTGCGGCTGCAGAGGCTACTTTGTGACCGAGGAGGACGAGAACTTGCCTCACTACGATGAGAAGAGCTGGTTCGTCGGGGACCTGAACAGGACTCAGTCAGAGGATCTGCTCATCGGGAAGCCGGACGGAGCATTCCTCATCCGGGAGAGCAGCAAAAAGGGCTGCTACGCCTGCTCTGTAAAGTGGGTACACGTGCCTTTATTCATGTGCAATGTCCAAACTATTTCCACTCTTATATACATTTTGAGTATAGAAGTGCAATAGATGTGTATGAATTACACATTTCCCTGCGTAGATGTTTGGTTAGCCGACCATTAATAACAGTTAGCCTAAAAGGACTTTTTTACAGTTGATATATAACAGAAAAAAGAGATGCTTCATTGTTCAGTGAATAAAATACATTTACACTAACAGTCAATTAAAATCAATCTATCATTAGACTACCAAATAAACAATCGCCATTTTATGTCATTTGTTAACAAACTGTACTATTTTGGTCAGTCTCTTTTGGCATTTTCTTTCTAGCAATTTTATGATTTCCTGAAATGCAGATGGAAAATATTATATATATATAAAATTAAAATATATTAAAATAACAGCTTTTTTAAATGTAACCACATTAGTTTGAAAGAATTACGTTTTAACTACACAAAACTCCTGAATTAATTAAAGTTGAGATAAAATAAAAAATAACATTAACTTTGAACATGTTTGCACCTATTCAATAATACATAAACATACTGGGTGTGCTTATGTAAGCCTCTACTAACCAAAAATACCGCAACATCCATCATGGGTGGAGCCACATTCTGAGCCCGCCTACTTGTAAGCCGTCCAATCAAATGCAAAGGATTGGATAAAGTATTTTATGTAAAATATGACATTTTTCTGGGGAATGTACGAAGGACGTTCTCGCTAACTACTTCCTGACCAGCGTGATTGAACCCTTCTTCTCTGTCCTCAGTGTGGAAGGTGAGGTGAAGCACTGCGTCATCTACAGCACGCCGCGGGGCTTCGGCTTCGCGGAGCCCTACAACCTGTACAGCAGCCTGAAGGACCTGGTGCTCCACTACCACCAGACCTCCCTGGTGCAGCACAACGACTCGCTCAACGTGCGCCTTGCATACCCCGTCTACGCACAGATGCCCTCCGGACGCAGATGAACCCCACCCACCTGGCCACAACCCCCACATAGACAATAAACCAACCCCCTCCTGGGGAAGGAAGAACGGGGAGAGTGAGTGAAGGAAGGAACAAGGGAGGGAGGGGGATTGGTTGAAATAAAAAGCAACCCCAACACCAGACCCCGTAAAGATAGAAACAAATGAAACACTTGCTGCAACACACACGTCAGCCACCTTGGAGTTATATATTTTTACAAGAACTATTTCGGAGGGCATTCTTTCTAAAGACTGCTTGATTTGCACAAGGAAGTTTTAAATGTTTGTGAATGTGAAAAACAAATAAATAAGCGACTGAAGGAAGGAAAGAAGGAAGGAAACGGAGTAGGAGACTTCATAGTTTCAGTTTGACCCCGCTGCTACCTACACTCCAGCTCAGACTTTTTACCAGAAACTACGCGAACGACTACGAAGGCGACAACAAAACATTCCCAAAACCCCATTTTGTTTAGTTTCTCCCGTTATTTTTGTTTTAGTTTGCACCTCAGATGATTATATTGCAACCTTTTTGTTTGTTTCTGGAGTCGTTTCCTTTTGTTTCTCATAGCTTTGTTTGTGGTAAATGCAAGAGGAGACGATGTCAAGTATCTGTCCTGTCCCTCTCCGTACGAAAAAAGCAAATATAATGTAGCATAACGAGACAACGGACACTTGGTTTTATGAAGTGTTCCTCCATGTAGACTGCTGCTGAAGGGTTTAGGGGGATGGGGAGGGGGGGCATACGTGACAAAACATAGTTTTGAAGTCTTAAAGAAGGACAAAAGGCTTGCTTTTATACTAACAGTAGAGGGGTTCTTTTGTATTATTTCTGCTTTGCTGGAACATAGTTGATTTTTTCCGTTATTTCTTGCCAATGTGTAAATGGCAATGTCACAGATCAGAACCAGAGACCAAAGTTGGTGTGGAGAGGGAGGGGGAGGGCAAAGAGTCAGCTAGTGTGTGTTTCTTTAAGTTTTTTCTTTTCTTTTTGTGAATGGTGAAAGGAGTGAAGAAAAGCAAACGAATGGTGTGTTTGAGACCACACATAAAAACCGAGTTTTGGGCCACGTGCTTGTGCACCAAATAGCCTTTTTTTGGAAAACCAAATGGTACGTAAACAGAGAAAGCCAGGACCTTCTGTAAATACAGATGGTCAAGAATGAAGCACTTAAACAAGTCCCATGTGTGACCTCAGCATTCTGGACCTGTTCGAATAGTATAGTTATTTCTCAGTTTTCAGTATTTACTGCTTTTTGACCGTTTTTAAGCAATTTACTGACATTGTATAGACTCAAAAGTCAATAATTAATAGAGAAAATATGCGTAACTCAGTGTAATAGTTTTTTCAAATTCATTATTTTCTACCAACTCACGGCTTGAGTGCTGAGGTCACAAATGTTACTACACTTAAACCAGAAAATAAAAGGTTACAAATGGTCCGTTTCACCCAAATCATCCTTTTGAAAGCTTGAAGGAAGTGAACTTGAAACCAATTTTATGTGTGGTTTAAAAAGAGAGTGAAAGATACTTACATGAATATATGCTAACGACTATGGGTTTAAAAAACTGGGACTGTTTGTGTTTGTGTTAAAAACCTTCAGAAATAATAAGCTTTGATAAAAAAAACTTTGTCTGCAAGACAGAGAGCAGGTAGACGGAGGCGATGTCTCGAGCAAAAGGCGCAGGCTTTAGAAGAAAAAAACTGAAAACTTGAAAGAACGTGCAATCTAGCGTTGTGTTTATGAAGTCCAGCAGAGCGGCGCACTAGGAGAGATAATCAAAGTGCACAGTGAAGCTTTTGGAGGGAAATTCTGTCTGACTTCTCCATTTCCTCTTTTTTTTATTTTGTGACAATTTTGTTTTGTTTTTTAAACTCAGAACCTATTGCCGGTGCTTGTCTTTACAACCAGTGGAAGCATTTTCTGTCAAAGACTAAAAAGCATCACACAATAAATAAATATCTTCAAAAACTGAAGAGAAAAACACAACCCAGTTGCATTCTATTTTTCCTTGAAATTTGAAATGTGCTGTTACTGATTGGTTGTTGGGACGAAAATAATGCCCACCCATTGGCTGTTTTTGTTTTGGAGAGGCATCTTTTGAACCAGGGTCAGCGCTGGGTCCCCGGACAGTCTGATAATCTGCAGCTATTCATAGAATGAAAAGCTAGCGAGTAAGGGCGCTGATACATCGACCCCGTTTTCTTTTTTCACAGGATAACGTTTTTGTTTGGGTCTAGCAAAGAAATCTTACAAAAGACACTGGTTACAAAGTCAGACAGAGCACCCTCCCCTCTGGTTGTTTGCAGTCTTTTTCACAGTATGATAAGCGGAGTGTATGGGCTACACACACAGGTACGTCTGCAGGAGCGTATCAGGTTGTAGGAAGAGGGCCATTGTTTGAGTATCTGCAGAGGAGTCATTGTGAGTGAATGATACAACCTTGGTTGTACCCACCACATGTTTATCTACACCCCCGTCTCTATGTGCTCCTCAACAGTAGTAACCCATGACGGTATCACCGTTATCTACCCCCACACCCTTGATAAAGTCGGCTCACATTAGGTAGATGAGTTGGGGGAGGCAAGGTTTGTGGACCTGAAAGCCATTGATAGTAAGCGGTCTCTCCCGAATCAGACTGGGTGTCCCTAAAGCCGGCAGGATTCATCCGATTTGGCCTGTTCTCAGACTACTGTCCTGTCATGTAGACCTACAAAATAATGCAAAGCCTTTTTAGAAAATGTTGAACATTTGGCGTAAAAAATCAGTTAGTTTTAGTCACCTAGGATTACACAAGTATTCCAGAGAATTATCTTGTGTTTTAAAGAATGGTTAGCCATTACATTCCATCACTACTTCCTCTAATCCATGCATTAACAGAAGCACAATTGGCAACATCGGTTTGTCTTTTTAAAGAAACTGAAGTTTAAATATGGAAATGGAGCATTCCAATTATTTTGGTATTATCTTTCCAAATGTTCCATATTTCCATTACTAAAGAGACAGATGTTCGAATGGACATAACTTGCAAGTTCCTAAAATATAAATGGGAAAACAAAGTTATATTAAAATAAGCTTCACTTTGTGAAAGCAGTGTAAACAGGCTAGAACTGAATTGAAGTATCAAACTGTTTTGATTTTGAGAACAGGCCAAATTTGGTTGAATTGACCCCAGAGGTCCCGTTCTACCATCCAAGTAGAAAGCTAAAGCAGGTTTGGAAGAACAAAGACGGTCTCAACACTGTTGGACAGTCGCAGCATAAAGGATGTTGGAGGCGTCGGCTGTGTCCCATTTCAGTTGTATCTGCCTCCGAATTGGGACCCAGCCTTTTTTGGCGTGTTGTATCTGTTGCTGTCGACCAGTGATGGCGGTCTTTGTTCTTCCTGTTGGACTAACAGGGGACAGCAAGGCGGGGATTGTTGATATCATCTTGAATGTACAAACAGGATCAGTCTGGGTCTAAAGCTTTTTTCTTTTTTTTCTTGGTATTTTCGAAGCACCAGAAATCATGCTCACAAGAAGATGATCATAACGCTAGAGGTGCTATCGAAAATGCATGCCTGTTCGATTTGGCAGACTTCTAACGTCTCCTTCACAACGTTTCTGGTCATTTACCCTCAGGTGTTACACGTTTACCGTAGAAACGACCACACAACAAAGCCAGCTATTTAAAAAAATCAATAAACAAATCAGGGTTTTTTCAGCATTGATACTTAAATCACTCTCAGTCGATTAAGCTAGTTCCCCACGACTTTGGTTTTTGTAGTGTCCGCACTTCAGGAGACTTGTCCCTCGTTGCTTACCGTAGCTTAGACACAGCATCATCACCAAAAGGATGTCATAGTCTCTCCTTTCCCCCCCCATCACCACACAGTCTCACGTTTTTTTTGTTATTAACAGACTTTGTTTCGGGTTGAACACAAAACCCTAACTTTATTACTTGAACTATATTGCATTGCTCACTGTTGAATGTCTTTATATGAAAATATACATTTATTAAAGAAAAAAATAACGAAGAGTTCCCTTTTGTTTTATGGTGAGCAGGGCCATGGTTTTTAGAGTTTTATGACAAATGTACAGTATTGGTTACAGGCAAACGTAGAGCTAATTTAGGAGGGAAAGAGGCGCTTTTTTGAAACTTCTCAGAGATATGTTCGGATCTTTTCCTTCACAGAGGGCTTGTCTGAAATTGCACACCTTATCATCTACAAGAGACTTGTGTTAATATTTACCTGTGATATCTGCATTTGCATCAGGAGTCACATTTACACAGAGATGTCGTATCCATCATATATATAAAGCTAGAAAGATAATACCGTTTTAAGGGTCGTTTTGAGTTGTAGTCGCTGTTCTTTGACTGTTTTCACCCCCCCCCCAAAACATTAAGACCAAAGATTTCAGTTCCTGTTAAACCCCTCAGTTGTCCATCATTGGAAATGGATGTTTCAGTGAAGTTTTTATCTCCATTGCCTTGATAATATCACAACTCAGAAGATAAAACCATGTTGTGTGAATGAGTGTCCCGTACAGCTAGCTAGGATTGTTGGTTGATCTGTTCATTTTGTGTTAAAAATAGTTTAAACAGGTACTTTTTGTGACACGTCAGGAAGGATCCATCTTTAGAGTCCTTGATGTCCCAATGTAAAAATCTATCAGATTTAACTTGATCTGCACTCTTCCGTTGATGTGCCGTTGGTATAAACGGACTTCTGTTAAGGATTTAGAAGGAAAAAAACAACCAAAAGTCACATCTTTGTCACTCATGCTACTTCATATTTTTGCACATGATGACCATAGCTGGAGTTTAGCTTGGTTTGCCATCTGAATATTTTCTATTTCTGGGTTGAAAATGTCCTGCAGAAATCTCGTGAACAAAGTAGTTTGTGGGGTTTTTCAGATTTAGTTTTGTTGTAATGCCAGTGTTTCCCACAGAATTTTAATTGCTACAGGAGATACGGAAGGTCAACAGGAAAAGAATAAGTCTTGTCCGTTTTGTATAATGATACATTTAACACTTACAGATCTGAGGTTTCTGCAGGACCATTTTCCTTTGTAACTCACTCCACACAACATGCAATATTCCCTTTTCTGTCAACCAGGGGTTCGTGATAGAGGGGCCATGATTTACCTCAGGTGCATCGACCCCGCAGGTGTTTCTGAATGGGCAGGGGTTCACTCGTAGTAGTACTAAGGCAGAGAGACAAGCAGTTTAGGAACGTTTTTGGACAAACCAAAATATCTGTTTTGTGAAGTTTCCTTTTACAGACTGTTTAGTTGGATTTTCACTTTGGAAAACTCAACTCTAACTCAAATAACTCCAGGAAATAGACTTAGGTTCACTTCTCAGAATATAAAGGTACATTCAAACAAAGGTGCGGTCTCTGTAACAAAAAGGTACAATAAGTCTAATGTTACCTTTATTTTTTATTGTGAGTGTTAATACTCACTTCCATGCCAGGACTGTTAAAATAGCAACTGTCTGTTGTTTCTCTACCACAGTTATTACTACCAATACTACTACGCGCCCTAAAGCAGTTCTGCAAAGTTTTATTTGCAGCCAGGTTTGAATATGTTTGATTCTCTGCGAGGAGTCGTGTTGTTCTTACCACTGCTTATCTGATCACAGTACCCAGCACAGCTTCGAGGAGTAACAGCTTCTTATATATATGAAAATAAAGAACTTTTTAAAAAACTACAACTTTGAAAAAAGAAAAAAAGATTTTTTAAAAAGTGTGTATGACACCCCCACCTTCCCATCCCCAAAACCTCTTTTACCCCTTTTTGACATACGTACAGATCCGGCATGCATATTTGGTACTCTTGACTGTTGTTTTTGTTGTGTATTAAAAGAAAATTGTAAAAAAAGATGTCTTTGAAAAACAACTGTTATCTGACTGTTTATGGTGTATTCAGATCTGAATTTGATAAAAACTAATTTAACATCACTGCTTACAGCTGAAGCAAGTTCCCGTTTTTATTGTGTCAGTTGTAAAATGCTATACAATGGTAATACTGGGAGAGAGACCCAAGATAACAAATAAAAAATGTTATTTTAATTCCGATGTCTGGTAGCTTTATAGAAATGTTTGTCTAATGTTGGCAAATCAGGAGACAATAATGTTTGAGAACATTTAGCCTTGAATATATTTGTCTTTGTTAAAAGATTTCCTGATGACTTTAATCTTAAAGATGATCACCAACTCAACATTTCAAATCTTGAGACAGTGTCCTATTTTTTTTTTAAATGACTAAACTCTGATTTTCACATTTGACCACAAACAGACGTGGTGATAATCCTCCCGCAGCTGATTACCTGTTATTGGTCTCTTTCTCAGTGTTACCCTCTGCCATAACTGCTACGCAATCTCTTGGTATTTTCTCTTTGAAACAGTTTCGGCCAATCACGGTTCACTTTACTTTCTCGTATTGGTTGCAATAGTTTGTTGGTTGTAGATTCTCCATTTGTTTATGAGCTGAACTCATGTACGTTTATCAGTGGAGCTCCACCATATTCAGTGCTCTTGCAGAATAAAGAAAATATTTTGTTCAAATACAAAAAAACGGAGTGTTTGTATTTTATTTTGATGATTGTCAAATTATGAAAAAAAACGATAAAGTATAGTATGTCGAATTATGAAAAACAACGACATCGTAAATGTTGAAAATATATGAAAAAAATACAGAGTATAATATGTCAAAAATATCTGAAAAAATGACAGATGTTGAATTTTCAGGAGAAAAAAAATAGTAAAGTATGTTTTTCATAATTCGACATACCATCATTTGTTGTTTTTCAACATATTCTGCTATTTCATTTTTTCTGAAGATTTCGACATTTGTGGTTTTAAAAAATAAATAAATACACAATATAGTAACTATAATGTGTTTTTTTCAGATAATTCGACATACGTTCAACATACTATGTCGTTTTTCTTACATATTTCGACATACTATGTCACTTTTTTCACATTTTCGACATTCTTTAACCCTTTCATAGATCACTACAGTGGACAGCTATTCAAAAGGTGTTTTCTTGTATATGCAATATTTTGTTTTTGCATAGTTGCACCATCAGCCACTACATAGGACCCTATTGCATCATCCCACACACTGCTACTCAGTGCCAAGTCAGTGTAAGTGCATGATACATGTCTCTAAACCAAGATGGACGACAGAAAGCCACATGGACCAAGGTTGCGTTCCAATAGTCCATTTAGCTTAGGAACCTTCCTAACCAAGTGAAATGACCCGGAAGTACGTCAGTGGCAGCCATGATAAGTGCCGTGAAAGGAAAGGAGGTTTCAAACTTCCTTTATAACCTCCTTTAGCTTAGGAACCACTGGACCTCCATTGACGAAAGGAGAGGAGAAAATGCTGCCCCACAATGCATTGCAGCCGCAGCATTTGCCGTCACTCAACAGTCGGCCGCTCACGGAAACAACCGATTATGACAGAGAAATTATATCATGAACGTTACGGTGCTTATTAAGCATTTTAAAACGTATGTGGTAAGTTGCCAAAGTGCTTTGTTCTGAACGTTCATCAGTATTATAATCAAAAAGAGAAATATGAACGTTAGTTTTTACTGAAATGATCAAATAAAGTCAACATCTCACAGTCTTTACTGAGCTGTGTGGGGTTTGTTCAACTTTTAAAAGATGTTTGAATGGTGATATACACAGTGATAGATGTTAAGGACTAACGTTTATAATAAATACATTTGTATTGATTTTAAGATATTTTCATAGTTCATACAATCATACGTATTGGGATCATTTGTATTAATGTGGACCGGAGGGAGAGGGTGACGAGCATAAGTTTCACTTTCCTTTTTTATTTCAATTCCAACTTTGGTCATGAAGAATATGTTTCTCTGTTGTCCACGTTCATAAAGCATAAAGCAACAGCATCAGAGCACGGTGCAGAGTCTCTAGATGAGTTTACAGTAGTCCCTCGTTCTTATTAAACATCCATGTTGTAGTCCGCTGTATAGAAAACTGTAGTTTCCATAGTTTCCCCACAGCAGCAGACGCACATTCATGACGTCCGCTGTCGCATCATAAACACGTCGGATAGTGAAAGTGTAGTCGGGTTCTCAAAGTATCGCAGTCTCTTCTCCTAAGTCATTTTGAATTCTCCTATCCACTATCCCTTAACCCCGTGACGTTTCACTCAGAGGTCAAGGGATAGACGATAGGGTTAGAATTTAGGAGCTGATTTTTGGATTATCGGAACGCAACCCGTGTCACCCATCTATATCTTGCCAATCCTTTTATGGAAAGCGTCCTCTGCAGGTATAAAAAATGTGGTGACATCAAGTGACAACTAAGGAATCATATCATTCATAAATTATCAAAGTATTGATTTTATGTTTGCAGGAAATCATAATTAACCACCTGTCCACTACAGTGGACGTCATGCATCACTGGCTATATTTCAACTACAATTCATACTGGTGCTGCTGTTGTTCACAGGGCTGTCCCTCCCTACAGGCAGATCATGCAGACTGTGTGGGGCCTCACCTTGTGGAGGGGGCCACACCTTGCGGAGGGGGGCCTCATCTGAGACGCACCTACAGTATGCGCTTGGCGCAATTAGGGTGGCGCGGCACGGTTTCGCCGCTGCGAGGCTCCACTAGCACTCATCAAATAACTGTGCGTGGGGCCTCAAATTGGCCCCTGGCCCTGGTTATTCTTGAAAATACTTCATCTGCAATATCTTTTTGGGCCGTAAATCAATATACTTATGTTAATATAATGTAATGCACATGTTTGCACATCTTTATTTATAATTTTTTCAAAATGTACATCACCTAACCTGAGTGGACATATAAAAATCTATTTGAAAAAACTAGATAAAAAAAAACTAAAGTTCAAATCTTGTTTTTCATGCCCCAAGAGCAATAATAACACAAAAATCCTGACTGAGGTTTTCATAGTTCATGCATGAAAGGGCTAATGTCCTCATTTTCATATTTCCGACATACTATGTCGTTATTTCCTATTTTTCGGGATATTATGTTGCTTGTTTGCATATTTTTGACATACTATATTATGGTTTATTTTCAGTAAAATCGACATACTATACTTTGTCGTTTTATTGCATATTTTCGACATATATTTCTATGTCGTTTATCATTTTTCAACATACTATACTATTTTGTCTTCTTGAATATATTTGATATACTATGTCGTATTTTTGCATAAATCAGAATACTATACACAGTGTCGTTATTTTTGCAACATTTCAAAATACTGAACCACATTGTTTTGTCTGAAAATGTTAACATACTATAACTTTTCAAAATCATACTATGATATTTTTTGTCAGTTTTTCTAATATTTTTGTCATGCTATGCCATGCCTTTTTAAAATATATGTTGACATAGTATACTAAAACTACTGACTTAGTATACTGACTGAAAAACGACCTTGCATAGTTTGTCAAAGATATGAATCAATCTCAGCAGCCAATCATCGTGCTCGAGCCAAACTTTAAAATGGTTCTCCTCTCTCCTGCAGTCAGCTGTGATTTCAGGTTTTCATCCAGTGCCAGGAGAGCTAATCCAAAGACCTCATCACATCCCCTCTTCGTCCCATCTCCTCATCAAATCCAGATCTTCAGCATCATACGATTTCAGGATCGGGGTCTAATCGCCCAAGACTTAACATTTATCATATGACATGTGACAATAAATGTTCTTTAAACAAAATGAAGTCACTCCTGATTGAAATAGTCATAGTATAGTAAGTTTCAAAAATACTGGCTGATTAATTGATACAAAAAAAAGTATTACAAAAATATTGTTACTCATTTCTTAATACCATCAGTATTGTACAGACTTTGTTGAATTTGAAAAGTCTCTTTCAACCAGAGAAGTATCAACAAAATGAAACAAACTTACTTGTAAACACAAATTGAATGGAATACAGTCGATCAACTTGTATGTGCATAAGTTTGTGTGAAGCCGTTTGTTGAAATCAATAGAATTGAGTGTTTCCTCTCTAAATGATTCCTGCCTGCTGCATTAATCCTGACTCTGCAGCCTTGAGTGTGGCCCTCTCTGCAAACCTTCACTTATTAAAAAGACTATTTCTCCCAGCAAGAATCCACATAATTATTCTGCTCTATATAAAGCTTAATTCTGGTGCCTCACTTTGAAAATGGAGGTCGTAGCCCCTCTGTGGGCTTACAACACATGCCTTGAGACACAGGGTAGGAAACCCCAGGGGAACCCACTCTTAAAAGTACGGACTCCCTATTTGATCTCCTTCCCTTCTTCTTTCAGTCTCGCACTTTGAATTACAAATTCCATTCAATTAATTTTACATTTATGCTCCATTTCCCTTTTTTGGGCGTGTTAATTAAAAGCGGGGAGCGAGATCCAGAGTGGCTGTAATTAGATCTTGGCGAGACATTAAACAGAGCAGAAGGGCATGAATCACAGCGCTTTAAAGGTTCTTTTTTTCCTCGCTGTGTGACATGTGCCAATCAAATCATAGGACTACACACACAGACAAGGTTACAATACGGAGGCTGTTATAGTACGGATCTTTTTTTTAAAAAGACACGCACACACACACACAATACATGCAAAATACTGTGAGAGAATTCATTAAATACACCCTCTTTGGTGGCTGACATTTATCTTTGCTGACTCAAATACACACAGTGCACGTGCTTCCCAATGACACAAGAAACACACACTATATGTGTGCATGCAATTTTTGATTGCAAATATTTATTAACATAATGCACAAGATGATAGAAATGTGAATATTGTTCAAGGTGATTATACCACCTTGTGATATCATATATCTTAAGGGGGAGGTGCAGCTATAATAAGAATAGTGAGCTTTTACTAAATGTGACTTTTCTTTCCTCTCCCAACCTGTTTATTTATTTCTATAGTCGTATGCATGTTTTAGACTCTCCCGTGTCCCATCACAGATGTCTTCTAGGGTTCTTGTTCCATGTTCTTCTATGGGTTCCTTCCCCACTCCTCTGTCCTGATGGGAACAAACAATCAATCGACAAGATTCAGAAACTAAACTTTATTATATTCTAAATGTCTGTTACCTGAACCTGAACCACTGATGAGACAACATAAAATAAAATGCTGTCATACTACAGGAACATAGAAAACTGGGTAGGGGATTCAGAGGTCTGGATTCAGTCTACTCCAACACTTGAATTGATCCTGATGGACAAGCGACAATAAACTGAGCCCCTTGTGAGCTAGGTCTAAGCAGACATTAGTGATTGAGACATAACCCAGTGGAGACTGTACTGGACTAAATGGGTTGACTGGGACTCAGCAGAGGGAAGGGTGGTTGTTGGGTTAATGCAGTGGTTCTCAAACTTTTTCTGTCAGGCCCCCCCTTTGGAAAAAAAAAAAAGTCGGGTCCCCCAACACAAATAGTCGGTGCCAGAGATTTCTTTTGGGGGTGCTGTGGGGTAGCTTGACGTTTCATAGAGGGTGCTCAAACATTTAGGGTTTACCATTAATGTACCGGGCGCTACAGTTTAATTTTCTACTGCAACACTCCCCACACAAATAC